TGTTTGTTCTTAGTCATGTTCATACATGGGGATTTGATTATATCTCGAGTATGTATTCGCGAAGCTTAACAACTTATGTCTTGTAGTGACTATCTTTGAGACATGCTCTGTTGAGATCAATGAAGTCTATGTATGCTCTCCAGTCTCCATTGTTCTTTTTAACTAACATAGGGTTGGCCACCCACTTTAGGTAGTTTGCCCCATGAATAAATCCATTGTTGAGTAGCTTCTCTACCTCCTTATTTAGGGCCTCATACTTTTCTGTATTTAAGGGTCTATGTTAATGTTGTCTCAGTCAAATTAAAGGATCAATGTTCAACCCGTGGCAGGCCGATTGTAGGATCAATTTTATGTCTTTGAGGCTTCGAGAAAAGACATCAAGGTTATGTCAGAGAACTCTATCAAGTGGGACCTTATTGGTAGAGGTAGTTCATGACCTATCCTAAGCTCATTCACTGAGATATCACAACTAACTTGAATTCTATCCAACTCTTCAATGGATTCTCCAATTTGTCCTTTAAACTTAACTCCATGGTCCAGGTCGGCATTAGCTATGTAGGCCATATGTATTCCAGGCATAACAGAATGTGCACTGCCTCCAGATAGATCTTCATTCAACACTTTGTAACAATCTCCTTGTTGCCTTTAACATGTCCAACACCATGAGGAATAGGTAATTTAAATTAATAGTGGTGCATCAATACAATTGCTTTAAATAAAAAACAAGAGGTCGTCCCATAATTGCTTCATATGGAGAGGTTGAGTTAAACACAATTGACCCGATATTAATCTTAGATCGACAGGAGGTATCCCTAACCTCCACGGTGAGTTTAATATTTCCTTTTGCCTTAGTTAGAGCTTCGTTCAACCCAATACCTAGATGTGGTTATGGTTGGAGGAAATGCAATAGGACTTCCATCCACTTTAGTATACTAACATATTGGATTTTGAGAGCACTATCGGTGTCTACCAATACTTTTTGGACAAATACTCCAACTGTTGGTAGGGCCATTACTAGCATACCTAGATTGGGGTATAGTTCAACTTCTTCATTGTTGAACGATAGGCAATCATCTCTTGCGTCCTATAATATCTTTTTGTGTACCAATTTTAGTGAGGTTGACCCTAATGGGTCTCTTCATACTGGATTCTCGACTTTAACTATATTACTTTCCTTCGAACATATCATCTCAAAGCACTTGTAAGCTGATATTGCATGATTTGGCTTTAACTTGGTTTCCACACAATACTCTCATCCTATCCGGAGCGGAAAATTTTATGCAATAGTGCTATATCAATGTAGCTGCCTTCAACTTATGTAATATGGGTCTGCCTAGTATGGCGTTATAGTTGGATAGTATATCTACCACCACGAAGTCAGCTATGGTTTTCCTCTGATAGGGGACATCTTCCAATTCTATAATTAGAGCAATTTGACCTAGTGCTTCAACGGGATCACATGTAAAACCTTGTAACTTTTTAGGGGTAAAGTTAGAGGTATCTCTGTAGGATTCCCATCCGTTCAAAATTTTTTCCATACAGAATGTTGACCGAGCATCCATTATCCACCAAATTTTATCGTGTTCGAATATCGGTAATGGGCATGGTGATTACCAAAGAATCACTCTAATTCTACAGTATTCCCTGAGAGTCCTCTTTTAAAAATCCAAACCATTTTGGATCCACATTCAAGGCAAGGTTTGATTTATACCTTCCGACCCGTATTTTTGCCAGATGCATGCATTCTTAGCTTATTTTTTATGTTCCCGTCTAAAACTTTCCATGCATTGGTTCCCTTCTGTAAGCCTTCTAATTTCTACCCTGCGTGGAAGATGTCAAATTGGTGAGGCTGGTAGAGCAGGTTGGGAAATACCTTGCTGATGAGGATTAGGTGTTTGCATATGGAGATTTTGGGGTTACTTTCCTTGGTTTGGCTAAGAATTACAGTAGTTGACCTTGTTGGATTAGGGACTCTACTTGTTCCTTCAAGTCCTAACAGTCATCAGTGTTATGGCCAACCAACTTGTGATATCTGCAATATTTCTTCTGATTGGTTCCCACAACGTCCTTATTTTGAAGAGGGGTCTACGAAAGACCTCTTTTATCACCTACTTGCATAAAGACTCCTTTCAGGGTGTTGATCAAGGGGGTGATATTCTTGAAACTTTTTCGGTATGGACGAGGTTGGTCCTTTCCCTTCAACGCTTCTTTCTTTCAGGCAAGGGGCCTTTAATGACTTTTTTGTCCTTTACCTCAACTGAGCTATGAGGATCTATTCTTCCATCGTTGTAATCTGAGGTCACCTCCTCAACACTTATATGCATTTCAGCTCGGTTCAAAAATTTATGATAAGTCTTTGGCCCATCTTCGTGTACAGACTACCAAGACATAGTCCTGGGTCGAAATCTAGATAGGATTGCTATGAGGGTTGCATCATCAGAGATATTTTCTACCTTCATAGATTGTTTATCAAACATGTTGAGGCAACTCTTTAGTTATTCACTCCGCCTTCGCTTACTGCTCACCAAACGCTCTTTTGGCGTAATTTTAGCTTTAGAACCCATCAACTGAGCTAGAAAAATAGTCACAAGATCAGTCTAATTTTTTATAGACCTATGGCATAGCCTTCTGAAACATTGCTAAGATTTGTCTCCCAATGATAAGAGAATAGCCTTGCACATTATTGCATTGCTGGCTCGTTGTAATTCCATCCATGTAGTATATTTATCAAAATGGCTTATGGGGTCTTCTTTTTCTATAATAAAAGTTGTAGTATTTTTACTTCCTCAAATAATTGCTTAATAAGTGTATCTTCTGTGAAAGGAAATGGTGGTTGGTAAGATATTCTTCCACAATACCTTTATGTTTGGCTCCATGTCAGCACTACATTTTCTCAGAGCACTCATTTCAGGTTTATCCTTTTTGAAGTGATTCTTTGAATAGGCTGAGTTTGCTCATCTTTGAATATTAGTGAAAGCTGAGTACCCAACATATCAAACACACTTTTGGCCCTTTTGGTAGTTCGTTTTATAGGTAGAGGTGAGCTCTTTACTTCATCAATTTTACTCTTAGACGATGCTTTCCCTGATATGAGCAAACTTCTTCTAGTGGGACGTCATCCAATTCTTTTCCTAGCAGACGATTCCACCACTATGTCAGCTAGGGAAGATGAGGTAGCCTGATTTCGTTCCAACCGATTGATGGCAGTAATCACACATTCTATGGCTTCCTTCATAGCAATAAGTTGAGGGTTGTCGCCTCCAACTAATTAATTCCTTCTTTGAAGATTGTATATGTTGGTTTGGTTGACATTGGTACGAAACGGCTGAATTACTATCCTTTGTATTTTTATGGAAGACGTATGGTTGTTTTTTTTTTTTCCCTCTTTTTTGGGGTCAAATGGGAATAGTATTGGCTGCTTATACAAGCGGCTCTCCTTTTAGCGCCAAACTATTGAAGTAAAAAAATGACTAGAATGATTTTTGTCAACTTAATTGGTAATTTGTAAGAGGTAATTGCTGAATTAGTAAACAAAAGAGTTCTTTATATTGATTGGAGCATTCTAGAAGTGTGCACGATCTTAATATACTTTCCATTTACAAGATTTTGATTGGTGTTTGAGATCGACTTTATCAGTTCATCATTACTTGGGCTGTAGTGATAGCATCAATTAACAATGGCAGGATGTCATCTAATCATTACTTGTAATTGATCGTTCAAGTAAGAGATGCTAATGTTAGAGATGTCAAATGGCACGATACAATTGAATAAGGTGAAAGGTGCATCAGTGATGGCGGGTTTCCAGACATCAATATATTTCTAGAAATGACGACAGTCTTTAACCTAAGCTATTCTTAGGGATATTATGTTCGACCTTGGTGATAGACCATTAATGAGATGATCTATTCATTATAATAAGGTCAAAGTTTGTACCCTAACAAAATATCTTATTGAAAATAAGTTTTAGAAAAGACTAAATATATTCACAATACAGTTTTGAATAATTAAGTTACATTTTAATTGAATAAAAGGTTCATAACATTTACACATTATCACGTTCATGTCTCAAATATTTTTCATTACATTTTTATTCGAAATTTAAATTGTTTCAATTGTGGTTTCTCTCCAAATTTTTCTGTAAAATAGAATAAAAATACTTATTTGTCCATTGCATTTTTAAATAAGTAAAATAAATAATCATATAAAAATGAGATTAACTATTTGGTCCTAATTTTAAAGTACATTAACAAAGTTTTTGGATAAAATCATGATTAAGGACAAACTTTTAAAATCAATGAAATGTTAAAAATAAGAATATGATAATAAATAAAAGTAAATGATTTTGGGTTCGTTTGATTGCAAAGATGAAATTTGGATGGAAAGAAAAAGAATTTCAAGGAATTAAATTGTCTAGAAATTATTTTCTTGAGAATTGTAAATTATTGTGTTTAATTGGTATAATTTTTCACGAGAAAAATGTTGAAATAAATTTATTTTTGGTGTTCATTTAACTTTATTTTATATGAAAATTGTTGATTAAAATGATTGAATTTACTGGTATTGGAGATGAATTTTGTTTCTATTGCCAACAAAAAAAAAATTCAAGAAAATCATTTATCTTTTGGTGTTCATTTGGCTTTGTTTTATATGAAAATTGTTAGTTAAAAAGAAATATTTTTTTGCAGTAATCTTTAGAATTTGTTTCCATTGTCAAAAAAAAAAATCTGAAAAAAAAAGTGCTATAGTAATCGAAAATTTCAATTCTGAAATTCCTTAAGAAGTAAGAAAAATCCTCGATGGCATGAGAGGCTAGAAAATGAATTCTATGGGAAAATAGAGCCACAAATAAGAAAAACATGGAATTGGAATTGATTTTCCATTTTCCGTGAAAATTTTGAGTGTATCAAAAACATCCTTAATGTAATTAAAATGTTGTGTATTTATTTTTAAAAAAAAAATGGGGCTTGAATATAATTAATTTAGAAAATGAGTCCAGGGGAATCCACCGCCACCAAAAAAAAGTATAAAAGGTAAATATTTCCTCATTCTCTGCGTGCAATCAAAATTAACAGCAATGTAAAAACTGATGACATTTTCATCTCTCTCGAATTCTCCCCAGGTTTTCTTCACTCCACATCCGCACCACCTGCTCTATCCTCGCTATACCTCACACCCATCTTCCCCGTTAAACCAGCCTAAACCCTAAAATTTTGGTGCCCTCTCAGCCGTCGAATTTTGTTAGTTTCATTTTATACTACAGAAAAATCACATACATCCATTTTTATAGTAAAAAAGTGTAATTTCTTTTGTGGGTTTGTTTATTGCACAAACATTATGGGAAAGAGAAAGAGAAGGGTTGAATTGAATGAAACACCATCATCTTCAGGTAATTTTTATTTTATTAAATTTTTCTGGGTTAATTTTTTTTTTTTAATTTTATTTTGTATATTATATGATAATTGTTTATATGATTGACAGATTTTGATGGGGTTTTGGTGGGTCAGTGAAATGCTGAAATAAGGGCTGAATTTTTCTAAGAAACTTTTTAATTCTGTTTTAGAAAAATTAAACCTTTTGTTATAATTCCTTTTTTGAGAAAGAATGGAAGTTATAATTATATATCTTGATGAATAGAAGTATATATTTTCTTGAGAATATGGATCTTGATAAAGGCCTTTGATGCATTAAAAAATGAATTAATGTTTGTTTACATATTGGCTTTTGTGTTGATGGGAATGTGTGGAGTTTTGCATTTTTAATTTTTTGTTTCATTATCAAGTGTATCGATTCAGTTGGGAACTAGGCTCTACATTTTTTTATACTCCAAATTGTTGGCTAAAAGTTTTTATCTTTAGTAGGGACATGCCATATCGGGATGTTTTGCATTATGGTTTTGAATAGTGTAGAATTATGGTGTCCTTGTCTTCAACTTTTAACCCCTGGTATATATACTGAGTTAGTGCAGTTATAAGAGAAAGTAAAATCTCGTTTCAATAGAACAAATAACTATAAAGAGATTGATGGAATCCCTATTGGGAGCGGGGGTGCTGGCACTTTTTTTTTCCTTGTACTTATCAAGTTGAAAGAGTTCCGATTTGAACTGATATACCTTTTATCTTGGAAAGAGATAGATAGTCTTACTTAGGAACTTTTACAGCCAAATACATGCTTTGCGAATGCTAATAGTGAGCTGGCTTGTACCACTTTGTGGATAGTTGTCTTTGTTTCAAACATATGGTGGCTGATGGTTGTAGAGGAGCTGGACTATGGTTGGGAAAGGAGATGAACTTATTTATTTATTTTTTTTTTTATGTTTTCTTTTCTTTCGTATTGATCTGTCTAACCTATTTTTTTACTTAAATCCTTGGACTTCAAAGATTTACTTGGGTAGCTGAAGTTTCGGTGAGATTTTACTTCGTCACTGATCTTTTTTTTTTTTTGCGTGTTTGATTGCACTCCTTTTATAATGTTGGAACATTTAAACAAACTAACAGTTTTCCAAGTCCACACCAGTTTTAAATATGCCACATCATATTTTCCATTTAGTGTATTTGAAGGAGGTTAATGGAATAATTTAATTGGAGCAAAAAGAAACTTAAGAAACTGATTTGGAAATAAAAGAGGTTCGGTGATACAACTGAGACTTTGCTTAAAGGTCAGCTACTAATCCTTTAACCATAGAATGATGTGATGAAATCTGGATTCTATTGTTCACTAAAAACGTGAAATTTATGGCCTTCGGTGATTGTTATAGCCCTGGAAACTTTTTTTCTTATGAAACAAATGAAAGAACGAAAAAGATGCACCCATTTGTAATTTCTCTTTTTCTTATTAATTCACCCTATGTATATGCAATCCTGCTTGTTGATTTTATGTCACAAATTGTCTCCTACACATTGATACAAATGAACTGCTATGGAAGATCCATTTTTGCATCTTCTGCATCCTTTCTTTCAATCGTGAATTTTTCTACATCCTCATCCCCCTTTTTTGATGTTAAAGTTGCATGCCCTTTAAATTCTTTGATTTGGCTCTCATATATATATATATATATATTTAAATGACTAACTCTTTCATATCTTGGTGGTGTATCGGGGTCCCCATCTTCCAAGTTTTTGCAAGCCAAACCGACCCTGCTTACTTTATAACTCTAACTATAGCATTTTATTGGACAACGTAGTATACAGCTATCCTCATTATGTAAATCAATAAGAAAACATATGTACTTGTTTCATTTTTTACTTTTCCATCAACATGCTAAGTAGTTATATCTGTATTGCATAAGCCCAACCTACTTCTAGGTGATATTTGTTACACTGTAATCAGCTCAATCACCATCCCTCAAATTTTGCTTCCATTTGTCTTGCATCTAGACAAATTGGTTTCTCATCTAATCCTCTATACAACCTCTCTCATGTCAAAGATCGTAATTTATTTTACTATAGTTAACCTTCTATTTAATGGAGTTTGATAAATTCTCGAGAGGATCCACATTTCGCGTTTCATTAAATAATTTGTTGAAACAATTACTCATATCTTTCTGTTATCTTACTGGTGTGGCAGTATGCTACAATATACCTTGCTTTTTATCTCTAATATACTTGGTTTAGATCTATCTCAACGTCTGATATGTGAGGATCTCATTCTCATAAATAGCTTTCTGCCCATTCTTGGTTCCATAGACAAGCCCTTCTCGATTCCTGTTAGCTCGTTAAGCTGATTTATGCATTTTAAAAGTTTATGCATATTTACGTATTGACAAGTTTCTATAGCATCCTGTAGCTTTAAGTGCTATCTGAACCTTCCTACTTTACCCACCATATTTCCATATTAGGTGGCTTCTAAGTTTAAACTCTCGGAAGACCTCATTTACTAGGTTATGCATCCACCAAGTTGCTTCAATCCTTCATCCAAAACTCTATCCTTCGACTCTGATCCCTAAAGCAAAAAAAAATAAAATTTCATATTCTGTACACCATGTAATATGTACCTTCTCTTTTTCCTGTTTTCCAAGCAGTTTACCTCAATAGCACCTCTGTTACATTCAGATTTGATTGCATCTGTTTTTATTTTTTATTTTTATATGAGTTACATGCCTGACTCTGCATTACTATTGAAGAGTCACTGATAACTGTTCTTTGAATTTCGCAGACTTCATGCCACCTTCACCTCAGACAGATATGTTGTCAAAACAGGTTTGTTTCTTATAGTTCCCTTTTTTTGCTCTCTCTCTCACTCACTGTATTTCGGTTAACCATTATTTTAATGCAGCACCAAGCAGAACACAATGCAGCACAGCCTCCATTATCCATTACGGATATTAGGGATAGCTCTATGAAGATACCACAAGGCAACCAGTCCCCTCATGGTTCTGGTTGTGGTTTATTATTGAGGCACCCTCATCATTGTTTTAACCGCCGTTACTCTAAACGAAGCTCTAATTATCCTGAAGCATCAACTTCTAATCGGAAGGGTCATCCCGCTTATGATACTAAATTGTCCTTTAAACAGCCTAGTAAAAACTTTTCAGACTCGCAGCATAGAGGTACACTTCATTGGCAGTTCAGATTCTATGTATAGATCAATCTAATTGTCCTTTAAACAGCCTTCTCTTGCCTTCTCATTTAGATTTTTGTTTAATTGTCTCGTTTTAATCTCAGAAAGTAGGGAGAGAACATTCCATAAGCCAGAAAGAATTAGATCAAGTTCATTGGCGATGAACGCAGTATCTGGTGATGTGCGGAAAATGGAATGTGGTATATGCCAGAAATTCGTGAGGAAAAAACCCTTTATCCTCGGGAACTCTATGTCATCTAGTGATGTCTCAGTGGTAGCCGTTTTAGTCTGTGGTCATGTTTATCATGCTGATTGTTTGGAAATGAAAACGAGCCATGAAGATAGACGGGATCCACCTTGTCCACTGTGTGCAAGCCAGCTCTCGCGTGTTGCCTAGACACGTCGGGTTACTGTACAGGTTTTGTATGCCAAACCAGAAAAAATAGTTCCTGGAATTATTAGGATATGGTGTTTTTGCAGGTGTTTTAGAGCAATGTTATCCTAGTTTACTAGGAATCATCAAATATCTGGTTATTATGACAAAGATGCATTTGTATATTTAAGTTTAACATATGAAGATCAGATGAGAGCTCTGGTTTTCCACTATGGAGAGCATTACAATAACATATTTCAATATCTGTACTTTTTATTCCTTCTTTTTCATTTTTTTCCGTAGTGCTCACTCTTTATCCTTTGTTTTCCACTATGGAGAGCATTACGATAATTACGGTCTTAGAATATCTTTGCTACGTGTTAGTTTTTTATTGTGATGCGTACACTCTAAACTTCGAAGAATTGGCAAGCCAAGGAACAGAAAGATTCACTTGTAAAAGGAAGAGTCAATAGAAAAATGTTCGTTAAATAAGTAATACAAACATAATTGACATAATATGAACACCTACTTCACATTCTTCATCAAATTTGATTTTTCATTTTTTTCTTTCTTTCTTTCTTTCTTTTCCCCCCCCCCCCCCCCGTCCCCCCTTTTTTTTGAGAATGTAAAATGAATATCATTATGAAAGATCTCCATGAATTATGTGGAAAATAAAGAATAAAATAATATCAACACAATCAAAGCAACAACATCTCCTCTTGTACAGAGGAATTGTTGCTAGAATTGCACCTGATGTTGTTGCAGTGGCATCTGATGCATCTTTTTTTTTTTTTTATCTATTAATCGATGAATTGCTGCCAAGTGTTATCTGTATCAATTCTATCAATCATTTTCTGTATATATAGCAGAACTGTCAAAGCAGTTGATAAAGTAGTAATGTGAGAAACTACTAAGTGAGCCATCTTATTCCCATTTCGAAGAATAAATTGATATGAACTACTAAGTACCTAATGCTATGATGTCACCTTGGAGCAAAAGACGTGTGTTAAAATAAAAATTTTGAATGAATACTTCGGACGACTTGGAGAGTCTCTTACAGTAATGCCAATGGATGGGTTAAGGTTTCTTGGAGGAGACCCCACATCACGCTAATGCTTGCCCAACTTCAACCGAGAAAATTATCGAGCCAATATGATCTCGAATAACTACACCTATTCTGGTGGAATTTATCCCTGCTTGCAGTATTCAATTTGAGCTTCTCATAATCCAGCGCGTTCCACATCAATATTCTGTTCCATACTCCATGTTTCTCTCTAGAAAACTAATCATATGGGTTCAAAGGAGAACGGACAAGGCACTCATTGGTCTGTATATCCGAATATACTCCTCGTTGCCAACCCACCACCTCAAACCCTTTTGCAAAAGGTCACTCACCATGGAAGGCTTTTTCAAAGGTATAGACCCATGGACGGACCCACATGGGGTCATGTGGGGTCAAATGACCCCTTACATTTTTTTGGGTCATTTCTTTCACATTTTACTTTTGACGCTCATTACGAGATGTCAAACGAAATCGAAATATTGCATTATTATACCAATTTGAAGTGTTCACAGAATAGTTTTTCACTTATGAATGGCGTGTGAAACGGTCAACCACAGCAAAAGTTATAGTGTGTCAAAATATACCATTCCAAACTAGTACTTCGAGAATTTCGATAATATGCTAAATTTAAAAATTCACTTATGATCGTACATTCGTCGAATCTACAAATCGCCTACGTCACTAAAAAACTCGTAATCATATCAAATGATCCAAACGGATATTAAAAATAATTAAACATGCGTCAAACGTACGTCTCTAAAAAACGTCTAACTCGTCTTTCCTTTAAAAAATTTTAATTATTTTATTAACGTTTATTAGTTTTGCACAAAAAATTTCTTAAGATAATTTACATCGTTTTATTAGCAAATTTTGCATTGAGTATGACTTAAAAAAATTTATGATTGTTATAGATTAAATGTAATTTAAATTACTTTCGAATTAAATTTGAATTTCATTTATTTTCTAGATTGAATTTGAATTTTATTCCAATTCATTTAGTTCCTACATTTAACTTGATTTACTCACCATCAGCTCAGCATTTGTCAATGAGGTTGTAAACAAAACTGTTGACCTCTAAAAATGGCTCTTCCACGTGGTCAACTTGTAGCTACTCCACGTATTTCTCCCTACGAAATGAACAAACTGTCAGGCGCACACGGCCGGAACCGACGGGGGTGGCGGCCGTATATACTCCGACGGTCAAGTCAGGTTTGGGTGGTCGAAACAGTGTCCAGGGACTACACAAATCAATCAGTCAATAAAGGGGGAGGAGAATATATAAACTTGTTATGGAGTGCTATCTATTGAGAGTTTCATTACCTTTGCCTCTAGCCAATCTTTGGGTATTTATAGGTAGTATGAACCGTGGAATGTGGAACACGTGTATACATCTGACGGTATGAAGCGTCTGCTCATAGGCGTCAATCAGCCGCGCTTGTAGAGTGGGCGGACAGTTTGTTTCCCCCGAGTTGAATTGACATAAAGTTGATAAGTCACATCAAATAGCTTTATGGGGGACGTCACATCAATTTAAACCTTATATGCAGAGCAAATCTTAAATTGGCAGCGAATCTTCTAACGGGGGTCCACTTGAACCCGACCTCAGAGACAGGACACTTCGGCAGATCAGTGACAGGA